CTGCCTGCAATTTTGATTTGGTGTACATCTAATTGGTTTCCCCTTCCCGCAATTTCCAGTTGGTGAACATCCTTTAACAGGTTGGTGGCAAAGTTCCTTCCGTCCTACACATCCTTTAACAGGACCCGGCCCGTCGCAGCTCCTGCAAAATAATAAGCATATACGTTAACCCAATACAATTGTAATAAAACCTTTTGCATCCAAACTTTTGGGTTTTTTTTTGTCCTTCAAAAACTCATGTAGGAAGGATATGAGATAATCGCATATATGTACCATCGGGGACCAATTCAGCAGCCGAAGTTGAAGTGGGAATGAGAATGGAGAACAAGAGAATGGTTGCAATAACAAATGCCTTCATTTTGGATGGTAGGCAGTGGGGTGGTTTGAGCTCTCCTCTCTCAGGGTGTCCCATATTTATAGCCCCAAGTTGCGGTGTGGTTATCACACACGTGTTTTTGTTAAGGTTATATAATTTTTTATTTATTTTGATTGATATTTTATTAATTTATATAATATTTTATATAAATTAATTATAAAAAATAATATATATTTTATTTTTAAAATAAAAAATAATTTTTATTTATTATTAATTAATTTTAAATTAAATATAAATTATATATTAAATTTCACATACTTAATTTTTATATGGTATAAAAGAGTAGCTTCGAGTGACCGAAATTATTGGTTTTTTTCATGTGCTGTGTCGGTGTCACCAAATTTTGTAAACAGACTTGATGACAACTATGGGTGACCCCATCACCGGCAGCCAGCTGGGGGATGACGAAGGGCGACAGATAACAAAGTGGTACGCGTTTGTGAAGGAAAGAGGAAACAAAGTCCGGCAGCAATAGCACCTACAGCACTAATTGTGTTTGATAAGATGCAGACGTAGCAAGATTAAAAATTTTATTTTTAATTTTTGTAAAATTAAGTTTTTTCCTAAAATTCTCCATATTCAAAAAAGGAAAAAAGAAAAAGAAAAGAGTCCGGCAGCAACAATGCCAAGCTCCTGTGAGATCTGTAGAAAGGGCAAGAGAACAATAGATCTAAAGAAAAAGCAGATGATGGGTTTGGATGTTAGCAAGAAAGAATCCTTTTTGGGGAAACACCAAGATTTCGCAGCGTGTGAAGCCAAATAGTTGATGAGGAAGGTGAAAGCGAAAGGAAGTGGAACTGTAGAAGTGAATTAAAAGGTGAAAATTTTCAATGGTATACTATAGATTGCTTTGATTACATTTAATTATTTAAATTAAAATTATTTTTTAATAAAATAAATATGTCATAAAAATGGGACCCGAACCAACTCATCGATTCTCTTGATTTACCCACCAAACTTAAAAAGCTTGCCTTATGTAAATTGAAAGTTTTATTCTCCCGTATTATTTGAAAAACACTCCATTCTTCAAAATGCCTCAATATTAAAAATAAAATAAAAATAAAAATAAAAATCGGATCCCAATTAAAGTATATTTGTACTAAGTATTATAGATTGGTTTTTAAGTATATTTAATATTTTAATAATAATTAAAATTTAAAATATAATAATACTATGCTATTCCCTATCCTTAATTTATCTAAATTGTGCCCGTAAGAGAAAAAAATAAAATAAAATAAAGCATATTTCAAAAAGGGGAAATAAAAATATGCCCTTTTCAAAAAAATAATAATAATAAACCAGAATATTATCCCCTGAGTAGGACTCTTATTATTATCGGTATTTTTCTTGTAATAATAGATTTTTTTAATGGAACATTAGTTTAGGGGTCATCTAAACAAATAATAAGTATTAGGGTTTATGAAGATTTTTATTATTATCACTTTTCTCGTTATCTTGTGTTGTTAAGTGGATCTTAAAACACAAATTAAACGTGAATTTAATAATTAAATGCATATATTTAAGTATGTTGAATATCTTGAAAATTTTTTATTTGATGAAATTAAGTACGAATTAACAAGTCAACATGTTAATCTCATATGAAAGGGGCAATCTCCTGATAATGATAAGGAAATGCCACTTTGTCAAATTGCCTAAGCAAGGTGTTACCAAGAACTGCTTAGCTTACAGCATCTTCCTCTTCTGTCTCTAGCCCCATGATATATTTTTGATTGCTTCTTTATGAAATTCCAATTCGAATCCTATTGCTTGCTCTGAAAGTGGTACGTATGTCCTGTTAAAAGCTGAAGCCAGATATTTGGACTGCTCTCTTGATGCCAAATACATAAAAATATAATAATTTTTTTAAATATATCATATCAATGTGGAGGTGCATGTATTAGATGGTTAGAAGAAGAATTAATGTTTAGGTGCGTCAAAGTTGATCCGGTGACAGCCTAACCATTTAAGAGGGGATAGCAATGTGTTTGGATACACTTGTCCCCGTAAGTGCTTATAAAGGCTCCAAGTGCAAGAGTCAGGGAAGGAATAGAAAGAAAAAGCAGAGGACCTGAATTTTCTGCACCAGATCATCTAATTCATCTTATTGGTACTTTTTTCAAGGCAAAAATAAATTATTTTTATTATTTATGAAATACAAGGGATGTTTCTTCCATGTACAAATATTTAGCTATTAGTAGCTCTTCTTTGGTTAATTAATATTCGCAATAAAACCTCTTGTATACTTGAGTTTACTCCAAATTTTCGGGTTTTTTTTTTCTTTTGTTTCCCTTCAAAAACTCATGTAAGGATATGAGATAATCTTATCTATGTACCTTCATGGACCAATTCAGCAGTCGAAGCCCAAGTGGCAATAAGAAATGCCTTCATTTTGGATTGTAGGCAGGGGTGGTTTGTACTCTCCCCCCAATGAGTCCCATTATAGCTCTAAGTTGGGTCTCGTTGTACTTACGGCCACATATGTTTTTGTTAATATAATATAAATTTTGTTTATTTTGATTGATATTTTAATAATTTATAATTTTTTTAATTTTTTTCTTAAATAGTTAATTAATTATAATATTTTAAAATATTAACTTATAATATTCTTTTAATTTATTAAATAATAAATATTAATTACTTTATTAATTATTAATTATTTTAATAATTCAATTTAACAAAACTAATATTTTTAAAATCAATTTTACAGTCACCTTATCATTCATGTCCCCTGCCCCCACGATGCACTCAGAATCTTAATTATTTTATTGATTATTAATTATTTTAATAATTAAATTTAACAAAACTAATATTTTTAAAATCAATATTAAAGTCACCTTATCATTCATGTCCACTGCCCCCACGATGCACTCAGAATCTATCTTTGAAAATAATTAAACATGCAAAAAGCCAATACTTTAAAAAAGAAATAATAAAATAGAGAAAGAATACAAAGGAAGACTCGAAAAAGTAAAGTCTTTGTAAATCAATCGATGGAGATAAGAATCCGCAAAAGCTGCATTACACATGCTTGGCCCAACCGTCACATGCTGCTTTTTGAGTTGAGTAGACCGTGATTTGCATTTTATGTCTTAAATTTAATATTTTTTTTATATATTAATATCTCTAATATATTAACACTTTTAATTATTATCTTTATAAAAAAAAAAAAATCCGCAAAAGCTCCTCTAAGGTCCACAAGATCAATAATGTCGGTGAATCGGCCCGTTCGCTTTTATTAAATGATTAATGGATATTGATATAGAGATATTTTTTTAATATTATTTTTTTATATACTTTTTATATATTATTAAATAAATTGATATATTTAATATTATAAATTTTAAATGAATAAAACATAATTATTATTTAAACGATACGTAAAATTATATAAAAAAATTATATAAAAAATTATTCTTGAATTCTTTTCTATGATTAATTAAAAAAAAAGGTTTTAAAGCATCAAATCACTTAAATCATGAAATTTAATGTGAAATTAATAAATGTGTAATTAGATCTTTGTAGTATATAACCAATAACCTAAATAATTTAGTGATAATCTCCTTTCGCTAAAAATAAAAGATCTTGAATTTGAGTCACATGACATGTGGATAGAATTGGTTAAGGGATGAGAGAGGGTTGTCTCATATTATGCAACCAATATAAAAAAAAAAAACACAACAACAACAACAACATTTTTACACTTTGAAGTCAACCAGTAAAGAGAGAGGTGTCGGAATGTAAGATTAAGGGCATGATTTCTTCAGGGTTTTTTCACAAAAGAAATTTGGGAAGGTTGAGCCTTTTTGGCTGCTTGGCTTGTAAAGTAAGAATTTTGAATGAAAAAAATATAGTCGATTATAATTGATTATATTGCCATATGACTCGATCCGGATGTGCTTAGTTGGTGTCACAGTCAAAATGCAAGGGTAGTTATTATTGATTTTTTTGAACACTTGGTGGAGCATTGGAGGGAGGTCATCCAAGGATGTAATAGGGAATACGAAAATTCTGACTATAAGAATTTTTATTAGCGACTCAGAAAAAGGAGAAGTATAAGAGTTTAATTATAAAGGCACCAATAATTAAGCGCAATTGTGGTCATTAAACTTATATATTTGAGTATTTCCAGTAATCTTGGAAAGTTTTATTTGGAAATTGTGGTAACAAATTGCATACAAATTATTGGTACATAGCACAGAGTTCATTGTTACTGGTAGCCTACATAACAATAGGCATAAGCAACTTATCTATAGCCATTGCAGTGATAATTAGGCTCAATTTTGATAATGAAATATATGTATTTGAACATTTTAAGTAATCTTGAAAAGTTTTATTTAGAAATTATTGTAACATACTAAATATGTATGTTATTGTTCTTTGGTTGAACATTTCAACAATTATTGTTCTTTGGTTGATTTAGAGTTTGTGTAATTAGTCACTGTTGTCCATTCCTTAGTAACTTATACATTAGAACATTTCGACAATTATTGTTCTTTTGTTGATCTAGAGTTTGTGTAATTCGTTAGTGTTGTCCATTCCTTAGTATGTAACTTTTACATTTTTTTCATTTGCAAAATTAAGCCTGATTTTGATAATTAAATATTTGTATTTTGAGCATTTCAAATAATCTTAAAAAGTTTTATTTAGAAATTATTGCAACATATTGCATACAAGTACATAGCGCACAGTTCTTTGTTACAATACAAACCATGCTATTGGCATCCCACATCACAATAGGCATATACGCAACTTATTTATAGGTATTGCAACTTCCTTTATAAAGCATATGCCTACATAGCTTCGTCTATAATTATCAAGGCATAGATGTGTGTGGTGTTGAGCCTGGTGGCACCTGCCTGCAATTTTGATTTGGTGTACATCTAATTGGTTTCCCCTTCCCGCAATTTCCAGTTGGTGAACATCCTTTAACAGG